ATATTGCCCCCAACAATCCGGGTCCTCATTTTACCCACCTCGGAAGGATGGAAGGCTGAGTCAACCCTGAGCCGGTGAGATTTGAACCGCCAAACTGCAGCTAGCAGTCAGCTGAAGTGGCCTGCAATACTGCACTCTACCCACTGCACCACCTCTGATGGCAAACCTATGGCACGCGTGCCAAAGGTGGCACACAGAGCCCTCTCTGGGCACACGTGTGCTGTTGCCAGCTGGCTTTCACAAGTGCCTGAAAATGGGCAAAAACCTGCCGTTTTTCAGGCCTTTTCAGGCATGCGCATGCCGACCAGCTGGTCTTCGGGTTTCCGGTGCTCCGGTGCACATACATGCACGCACGTTCCAGTTTGGGCACTTGGTGCCGAAAAGGTTCGCCATCACAGCTATAGACCATTTATTTTTCTCTTCTGTTGTGTCTGATTCCTGGAAACGGTCTAGACAAGTCCCTGCAGTTTTCTTGGCAAGGTTTTTTAGAAGTGGCTTGCCATTGCATCTTACAAGGGGGGAGAGAAAGTGACTGGCCCAGGGCTGACTTTATGCCTAAAGCAGGACTGGAATTTACCCTTCTCCTGATTTCTAGCCTGATGCCTTAACAACTACACCAAACTGGCTCTCATAGAAAAAAATAGGAATTTATTAGTAGAGTCCTACTGATAGGGGTAGGAGGATCTTTCCTAAGCAGTTTTGGGGATGGGATTCAAATGAAGAAGATAATCCTGTTGTATCAACAAGTCCTGTTATAAGATGACTCAGCCTTCCATCCTTCTGAGGTCAATAAAATGGGGACCCAGCTTGTTGGGGGCAGTATGCTGACTCTGTAGCCTCTTAGAGAGGGCTGTAAAGCACTGTGAAGCAGTACATAAGTCTAAGTGCTATTGCTATTTAAGCACAAGAATGATTTAATGTTGGGAAATAGAGTTATTGCTTGCATTTATAAACTGAACTTCCTAGTCTGATGAGTTGCAGGTAGTCCTCGATTTATGACCACATTGGATCCCAAAATTTCCATTGCTAAGCAAGACAGTGGTTTAGTGAGTTTTGCCCCATTTTACAATGTTTTTTTGCCAGGGTTGTTAATCCAGTCACTGTCATTGTTAAGTGAATCATGTGGTCGTTAAGGGAATCCCCATTGACTTTGCTTATCAGAAGCTAGCTGGGAAGGTTACAAATGGGGATTACATGACCTCATAGGACAGTGCAACTGTGGTAAATACATGCTAGTATTCAAGCACCCAAGTTTTGATCATGTGCCCATGGGGATTCTGCAACGTTTGTCAGGGTGAAAAACTGTCATAAATTGCTTTTTTTTAAAGCTGTTATAACTTTCAATGATCTGTAAATAAAGGGTTGTAAGTTGGGCACTACCTGTATTCTTAGCTTTGAATTTAAGTTGCTGTCCCCTATTTTTAAAACACAGTTACTGATACGATTCAGTGATATCTTGTGAAATAAAATAAAATATAACAGTTGGTGTGGACAAATGTGGATGAACTGTACCTTCTTCCCTCCCTCTTTTCTCTTGAATGTAATCAAAAATTAAAGGTTAGATATTCAGCTTTAACAACACAGCAATTAAAAAAAGAGAACATCTCAACCGAAAGGTCAAGTGATATATTGTGACACTAACTGGAATATTTATGACTTGCTTTAAATTTCTACTCATTAGACCTTTGATTGGGACTGGATTCTGGTGCTGTAAGTTTTTCAGGAGAGGTTTTGCCAGCAATCTCTGTGTCTCATTCTGCATTGTTCAGTAGAGTCTTTAAACTCAGTAGGCCAGTGGTAGCTTGCCTAGAGGAGAGATTGGGAAACTTTTTTCTATGCCATAAGTTTTCTTTGAAGAGAACATCAGCTTAACCTGGCTCAGAAGCCCTTGATGTGCTGCAGATTTTTATCTGTGGATTTTGGGCAAGTGGAAATGGGGAAATGCAGCCATTAACTGGAGCGTTATTTTTCTTCCTCTTTTATTTAGCCTTTGCCAGTTAGAAATCTTATACATTCAGATGAAGAGAATTCAGAAGTTGCTATGAATTCAACTCTAACATTAAAGGAGAAGAATGATCCTGTTTATGTTAAAAAAAGAGGTTTGTTTTAATGGATGTGGAATTATGATAACTTTATTGTTTTTATAATTTATTAGCACTGTTCAGGGCTCTGGGTTGAAAAGAAACAAGGTAGGATTTCAATGCATCTATGGAGCACACAGCCTGAGTAAAGATGCAGCTGCTTTAAGGCGTTTGAAAGGTGTGTCTTAACTGCTCCAGATGCTCCAAAGTAACACTTTCCCTTTGAATTCAAGGAAGTGCAAAGGCTTATGATTTATACCTTGAATATTGTGTGTCAAATTTGATTTTGCATTTTGTATTGAAAATTTAATTCTGAAAAGGAAGCAATATTCTGTGCTGATTTAAGATACACTTTCTGTGGGCAATTAAGCTGGTATGTATAGATTTCTATGTTCGAATAGAGCATAGAAATAGACATAGCACAATCTATATGAATTATAGAAAGAGGAAAAATAGGAAACTACTAGTTGAGTCAAATCAAAATATAATAATAAAGATCAGTGATGGCTAATCTTTTCCGGAGTGAGTGCCCAAAGCGTGCACACGAAGCCCCAAAATGCAATGCGTGTGTGGCCCCTGCGCATGAGCTCTGCCCCCCGGAGCNTCCCCTGCACATGTGTACATGTGCTCCCCTGTATGCACCCCATCCCCCACGCATGTGCACTGGAGACCTGATGACCAGCTGGCTGGCAGGAAGCATGTGTGCATGCGTGGTGGAGCTGAACTAGGGCGACAACTTGTGTGCTCACAGAGAGGGCACTACATGCCACTTGTGGCAAACGTGCCATAGGTTCACCATCACGGATATAGATTCTTAATGATTTCTCTAAGAACTACAGGTAGTCCTTGACTTACAGCCATAATTGGTAAGGAGGGTAAGCAGTTAGGGGTAGGGTGCACAGAAGGGAAGCTCTGCAATAGACTGCAGAAATGATACAGATCTTGGAGATCGATGCAGCCCGATGAAGGATTTCTGCCCCTCCGTGCATAGAGAGAAGGGGAAAGTGGGGGGAGAGGAATCCTTTGGCAAGTGGGCAGCAGCTGGCAACTTTCCCTGCCAACTTCCCCATTGGCTTTCTGGGGAAGCCAACAGAGAAGATTGCAAATGGTAATCCCATGATTGTGGAGCACTTAGAAACCGTCCGTAAGTGTAAACAGGTTGCCAAGCATCCTGATCATGCTTAAGTGACCATCAGGGCTGGTGGTGCAATATTTTATGACAGCTAGTCTTTCTGAGCTACCGTAACTTCGAATGGTCATTAATTGGGTTGTATGTTGAGGATGACCTGTACTTGCAATGTTCTGTCTAAATATTCTGAACTGGCTATGTTCTTCTGAAGCAAAATTCAAGGGAATTCACACATTCCCTTTTCCATTTCAAATTTTTTCATGTGTTTCCGCCATAGAAAACAATAGAAATTGGCAAATAAATTACTTTGAAAAACATTTGTATCTCCTATATGATTTGTCCTTTTCTTGACTGGCTGTTTTATTTAGATATTCTATTTAGATATATGACTGAAATCTCTTGTCATATTCATGTTAATAACTAGATTATTTGTTTCAGAAACTGAAATACTGCAGGAGGAACCAAGAATAATAGAATCTGCCTGTCTGGAAGGGCAACAGCAGCCCCTTCTTTCTCTTGGAAGTTACCAAAAGGAGCAGGAGCAATTCAAATTAAATTGTCTTGCATCTAAAAATAACTGGCCCCACCTTGAAGCACAGTATAAAAGAAACTCAGAGGTAAATCTGTTAATGCAAATTATTAATTTAGTCAATGTAAACATTGATCTTGAGCTACCCAGCTTTTGAGATTGTATATTTGTGGAATTATAATATAGTGATGCTTCGTGTCTTTTTTCATTTGACCCCATGTTTTCCTGTCCAGGAAAAAACCACATTACTTCAAAGTGAGGGTATGCAGTCTACTGCCTGGAGTCATATTAGTATGATCCCAGATACTTCATTTAGTTCCCATCGGACTCCTTGTTCCACTCGATATTTATCTTTATTTTAATTTCTTTTCTGATTATTGTGAGCCACCCAGAGTCATTGAGAGTCGATCAGCATTCAGACCTGATAAATTATTATTACTATTAAAAAATATCAAGAAAAGTAAAGAGGAATCTGGACAGTACTAGCTTTTAGTGTCACAAATAGGCATATTCAGATAGGCTCTAAAATGACAGAGAGCATCCAGGAGAAAAATTAATGTGCTAGAAAACAGAGGATTCTGAGTTCAAGTCTCACCTTAGACATGAAAACTGGCTGGGTAACTTTGATTCAGTCACTCTCTCTCAGCCCATAATGTTAGGTTTGAGAGACAAGCTGCTCCGTCAATTCCTGTTGTTATAACCAATAGATCGACACCTGATTGGCCCAAATAAGTGAACCTTTGACTTGCAGGGAAAAAAAAGATTTTTCCTACAAAGAAGATTGCTGTAGACTAAAAACTAAGTTTAGCCCCCACTTTAATAAACATGTGTGTTAAAAGTATATGTTAAACTGTAGTGTTTAGTCTAGAGCAGTATCCTCGGTAGGGGGAAAAAACATATTTTGTTTTGCGCTTTTATATACCTTTCTGTGCAACTTTGGCATTTAGTCATGCTGGCCATATCAACACGGAGACGTCCTCAGACAGCACTGGCTATTCGGCTTTGAAACGGAGATGAGCACCGCCCCCTAGAGTCAGGAACGACTAGCACATATGTGTGAGGGAAACCTTTACCTTTATATCTTTCCCACTAGGGAAGGGAATTGACCATGTTTCTTATGCTAACTAGAAACACAAATTGTTTTAAGTAAAGCTATACAATGAATAATTCTGGAGATGTTACTCTGATTATGATGATTGCTAATAAGCCTGAAGATTGGTTGAGTTTTTACTCAAAATGGAGAACAGAGGTACTTTTTAAACTGACATAAGCTTACTATATAGATTGTTTGGTTATTACAGCCAAGCATTTGCAGAATTGTCAGAAAACTATAGCCAGAATCAAAATTCTGATGTGTATATGCCCTTCTGATTAGATTTGCAAAACTGAAAACGTAACCTTTTTGCAATCTTGGGGTGGGGGGATGGGGTGTCAAATGGACTGGCTTTGATTATATATTATACAATTCCATGTTTATTTTAATCTTGTTTGTTGAAGTCATAAAAATGCATTTAATCATCTAGAAAAGCAAAATAAATCTGTGATTTCAATTTACTTTTGCTTCCATCATTGAGGCTTTTCAGGAAAAGACTGGACAACCATTTGTCTGGGGTGGAATAATGACTCCTGCCTTGAGCAGGAGGTTGGACTAGAAGACCTCCAAGGCCCTTTCTAGCCCTATGATTCTATGATTTCTCCAATGATGTGTTTTTTCCCCAATAGTGTTAAGATCGTAGTACTCATTGTAGAAAGTAATATTATCCATTTCTGCTTTCCAGTTCAATTTATATTGTCAACTGCGAATCAATGGAAGTGAACATATATGTTTTTCTTAAGAACCAGCCATATAAAAGTCTTTTCCATTTTGCAGGGGAAAAACTCAAGTTTTGAACATGCTGCCTTTCCAGTTCCTAAAAGATGTTCACCGTCAGAGCAAGTTTCATGTATCATTTCACCAGAGACTGCTTCAGACAGAAAGAGTCAAGCTTTTGTTGGTGGAACACCTCGCAACAGCATGGTTCATGATTATGTGGCTTGGTAATTTCATTTGAGGCTGTTTTTTTAAAAAACATTCAGATTTATTTATAGATTATTTAAATTAGGTTTTGGACAGTTTAAGCCATCATAAGAAAACAGACACCTGAATGAAGAGTTGAAATATGTTCTAAGGGATTCATGTGAAGTTGAAAGTGAAAAAGTAATTCTGGAAATTTATTTCATGTTGGCCTGACGTACTTCTTAAAATATTGAAAGGGCATATACTCCACAATAGTCCAATAAAACAAAGTCTTAGAGAAAGAAAAAAAGAGAAAGAAAAAAACCCAGGTTGTTTATTATTTGCAAATATGGTTAGGAAATACAGTATTTTGTCCAATAATTATATCTTTTCTTCCCGTTTCAGTACTCCAGTTGTAAGAAATAATTTTCTATCTATGGATAAGGCAACTACACCATACAACCAGCTTTCATATTTGCAACATTGTACTCCAACAGCTCCGTTTCATCTACAGAGTGGATTTCAGGTATAAGCTATTTCTAAATTGTATAAGATAATGCAAAAGAAATGTTGATTTCTAAATAATGTTTCATTCATTTGAGCAAGGAGGAGTTAAGAATTTTGCTGGAATTTCATATCAACATTAATTCTTTTAAATTTAATTTTTATTGAAAATATTTTTACAGAGTAAAACAATACAAATTTGTAGATAAAAGAAAAAGATAAATGAATAATTAACAAAAGAATTAGAAAGTTAGTGAATAAGTAAGACAGAAAAGATATAAAAAACAGCTTCCAATCGTCTTTATTGCAGTTAT